TGTATGTGTCAAACAATATTTTTGTTATAAAGTTGTGTGGGAATTAAAATAAAATTCACATGAAATCCAACAAAAAAGTTAGTATAATTAAGGTCATAAAATTTAAGGAGAAAGCTTTGAAATCATGCAGCTGTCTTATAGGCACATAAATAATTTCATAAAATAAGATATGATGTGATTTAAATTATTTGTATTTATAATTGTAAATAAAATGAATATATTTATGGCTGTGAATATTTTATTTTAATTTTTTTTTGAGACGCATAAAAACTCATTTTAATTTTACCTATAATATATTACAGGTTATGAATCATCTTTTGATTTGTTACAAATTTAATCACGTAATGTCGGACTCTCTTGCCATGTCATTAAGCTTGTTTGGTGAAATTTATTATAAGTTAAAATTAATAATAAAAAATATAAGTCAAAAGTTTCAGGTTTTTTTCAACTTTTCAAATAAATCGCAATTTTTTCTTTCGAGATTTTTGCCTTTAGTGATTTTTTTTATTTATTTAAATTATGTCAATTTTTTTCTTTTCTTTTTCAGTTTGTCTTGTATAGATGAATCCAAAAAAGATTTTACTTCATTTTTTGAAAAAAAAATTAAAAAAAGAAGCAAAAAAAAAAAGTCTACCATTTTTTTTATTTATTTTTGTCTTTTTTAGAAAATTTCAATTCTTTTTTAATATTATAGCTCATCTCTTCTGATAGAGTTAGAAACCTAAAACTTTTAAAAAAAAGTGTATTAAAAACGAAGAAAAAAACCAACAAAAAAAAAGGTGAACTTTCCCCAAGCTATTTTTATCTAAAATATAGGCAGAATTTATCAAACAACCTGACACACAAATAACTTAAATTAGGAAACGAATTGATTAGAGGAGGATATTTTTGTCTTCTATTTTTTTATTATCAATTTTTAATATATAGGGATTATTTGGGAAGTACAGTAGAGGCTAACATAATTAATAAAATAAAATATTTTATCCAAGTTATAAGCATTTTATTTTTTTCTCACAGCCATCACATCAATTAGGGCTCTCTTTAGGGCTACAACCAGTTGAATTGTTCGTGACTCGGCTCGACTCTAAAGAGCTACAACCAGTTGAATTGTTCGTGACTCGGCTCCACCCAA